GTGGAATAGGTCTACGGGGGAAACCATTTTAAAAAACGCGACAGCATTAGTATCTCATGGGTGACGTGGAAATCTATTGAAATATTTTCCACTTAATAAATTTAAAAATAAAAAATTTATTTTTAATAAATTTTAATACATTTTTTAAAATTTTAATAAATAGGGAAAAGAACCCACTCATAGGTCGGTATTCATAGTCCGTTCTTATATTTAAGATTGTTTTAAGCACGGACTTATATTCGCTCTCTTCGTCAGACACAATCTATGTGTGACGAAGAGAGCGAATATAAGTCCGTGCTTAAGACGATTTTAAATATAAGAACGGACTATGAATACCGCCCCATAATCATACTGTTTTATATGGGTTTGCGACTTGCAATTTATGATTATCCGCGCACAATTCTGTTACAACGCATGCGCGCCTGACCGCAGCGTATGCTCACATCGCTATAATTCGTCAAAGTGACAGGTTTTCTAACCTGAAAAGTTGTCAACTTTGACGCTTAATATCTCGTCCCCCTGGGACAGAGCGACATTTTAGTAAAAGGAAAAAGTTTTTTTAAAAAAAAACGCATCGAATGAGACCAGTTAGGTCAAAATCGGAGGTGACGTGGCTATTCTGCATAATTACCGAATTAATTTTATTTTTGTAGTAATTAATTATACCTTTCAAATTAATTACCTGAGATAAATGATCCTGGCCTTATTAGACGTACTAAACTCTTGTTTGCTGATGACACTTGTTCTTTGCACTTTTGCACGAGAGTACAATCGATAATCTCATCGACCCATGTATCACGAATGAATCCGAGTAAACGCCGAAGTCAACCGATGATGCTGACACGTCGGGCCGTGTGTTCTATGTAGGTCAATGCCCCAAATGTCTAGCAAGTGTCTAGACCATGGGATAAAAATAGATTGCCGCATTCCACGTGCCACGCGTTTCTGTGTACCGCGTCTATTTTTAGATGATGCACCTATCGGATTTTTAAAACGCTATAACTCAGCGAAAAATTGACGTAGCGACATGCGGCAAAAACGGATCTTCTCAGTTTTTCACGCTGCAAATATTTATGCACATTGCACAAGCTCTTATCATGACACGCATATATGTATGTATTAGATTCAGATAAAATTCGAATATTTTATATATTTAAATTGGTCAAACAAAAATATTGAGATACTCGCTTTTGAATTTTGGATGTAAATAGCGAAAACTGAGCTGAATTTTGCTAAGCATCCTACATAAAACACCGAGATAATAATTTTTGAATTTCTCTTTATTGTGAAATACGATTTGTATTTAAAAAATGCTTGATATACGGGATTATCATTAACTTTTGGACTCTTATCGATAAGCTCGTACTTTCATCTTTATCGAAACGGCCAGTTTACTAAAACAGAATCGCCTAACAAAACGTTTCGCAATAGAGTAGAGCAATTTTGAGAGAAAATAAGATAAGCGCAAAATATAATTTATTTTTGCAATTGAAACAAAAATGTTTTTCAATGCATTAGGATAAAATAATTACGGGAGGGACATAAAATAGGGATAAATTAGCATTTATTCTCGCGGTCAAAATAAAAGTGTTTTCCAATGCGACAAGATAGGATAATTTCAGATGGAACATGAAATAAAATCTAAGATTATTTTGAATATAGTAATTTTACTGTTTTTAATACTGGCACAACATTGTTTTGTTATTATTTAATTAAATGAAATCATGAAATAACAATATAAAACCAACATGTAGTAGCACATTATTTTGATATTCCCCATACAGCACAAAACATTGCATTTACATTGCAGCAATGTTACAATCTTGCAAGTTGCAATGTAATATTGTTGAGAGATTATTGGAACATTGAATTGTAATATTTCATGAGAATGTGACAGCAACATTGCAAAAACGTTACAATCGCTATCCAGAGAGAAATACAGGTCGAAGAAACGTCTAATAGACATCGTCTATAGACGTCTATTAGATGTCTATTAGACGTTTCTATGATCTGTATTTCTCCTTGGATAGTTCGTTCATTTACCGTTATGCGACGCGCGAAATCTATCTCGTATTTAAGTTTTAGTCATGATGATATAAAACTTCCAAAGAGTGACTAGTAAGGTTAAAGACCTTAGTAACTATTTTTATCAGTTAAATTTTTCTGATACGACCCTAACACAGGGAATTCAGATATTGAACTGATTGTTCAGAAATCGGACAGATAAATGTCCGAATAAATAAAATTATATACAACACTATTCTAAGATTGCAATAACAATGCATTATTGCAAATTCATTACATTGCAATATTACTGTAATATTTCGTTACAATCTTCCTAAAGGCGGACATTTTAACATTGTTGCAATCCCACAGCAATGATGCAACAACATTTTGCAGTAAATTTGCAATATTGCAACATTGCGATGAAAGATTGATGCAATGTGTATGCAATCTTTGTGTGCTGTATGGGTCATCTTATCATTTTAATATTTCTTTTGCTGTTCTTTTATTTTCTGTGGGAAATTTAAAAATATAATAGGGACTCCGGAATCAGAATAGCTAATTGAAAGTCGAACGGACGGACAATAGGCGTTAGGCGAAATTACGGATGCTTTCTTATACCAATGTGTTTATTTGACGAAAGATTGAAGATGACTGCTCGAAATTGAGCGATGAATTGTTATTCTGTTAGATTGTCGCGACTGTCGCTAAATATAGTAGCACCGAAATACGAAAACATTCCACAAAATATAAAATCTCCTACAATTTGTTCTATAAGTAAATTCATTTGCGATAAAATAATATTATAATAGGATGTTATATGTTGGGAACTTAAAATTATTAAACACAGGATGTATGTGTGAAGAAATTGATTAAATGTAATATATTTTTTTTTTCTTGGAAATGCAATAAAATTATTAAAATTATTAAACAGAGTTAGGCAAGTGTTTTAAGCTTGCGATCGCCGCAATTATCAAAATCGACGTCACATCTTAAAATATTAATCCAGGCTCTAAATTCTCTCCTTTATTACTAAAAAATCCGCAACATGTCTCTGTCACATTACTTACGTCACAGCTCACGTCTTTTTGTTTCTCTCCTCTAGCGACTCGCATTTATCGTCTCACATGTTTCGCAGTACTCTTTCACATGTCTCACTGCCGAATTCATCACACGTTTTCGCTATCGATTTTCTTTGCACAAACATCAACGATCCCCGAAATCAAAACAGAAGTTCAACTATTTAATTGGTTAATCGTTTTAAAATCTTAATTTCTTACAATAATTTGAATCAAGATTAAAACAAATACAATATGCTGGATGTAATTTACATAGATACATTAAAAATTGTGCTGTACTATATGTTTTGTATGTTTGAGCAATGATATAAATTTTTATTCTAATTCAGAACTGTTACTCTTACACTATTTATGTACAAGATAAAATTAATTATTATTTTTGATAACTTTTGTTCATTAAACAAGTGTCCGCTAAAAATTACTTTGCTAATTTATTTAATAACATAATTAATTATCAAGCCTTGATTAGAATTTCTGTGCTTTATTTTCATAACATGGTCCTGTTTATTTCAGAATTGCTCGGCTCACATTGAATGAACTGTGCCGTATTTAGTCTCTCGTTGTGTTGGCAAAATTCCAAGATTTTAAGTAGGCTGCGAATTTAATGTTCTGTACTAACACACGATATTTTAAAATAACCTCTACATTTTTACGATACACAAAGAACTCTTTACAGATTTCAAAGAGAGATTGGGAAAATAAAAAAGCTTTTTTTACTCATTTATCTTGTAGTGATCGCCAATGTTGGTTGGAACGAGATTTGAATTCAAGACAATTTGGGACGAGAATGAAAGCGAACGAGTTGCGCCAAAGAGGATGACGAGGGTATGCGCGCGCAGTCAATCGGTCAAAACTCACCCTTGGCTCGTGCTGCTCGCGATACCAAATCAGAAGGTAGTTAGTTTCCTGGTGTGCGCCGTCCGCGCTCCTTTAATCAGCTTCTTCTACGCTTCGATCACATCCAAGGAATTCGTATTTCGTATTTCGTATCTGAGTTTATCATTGCTTCTGCCGCGAGTGCGCCCATCACACTCCTCAGCCTTACGTATTCTCGTGTTTCTTTGACGATTGACAGCAGCGAATTATTTTCTCGCGCGTACCATGCGGCCCACCGCAGTTTTTTAGCATCGGTTTCAGGACAGAGAACGAGCATAGGTGAGTACACGTTGCAGAGATGTGTTATGAATTGTGAGCATTTAGAGATAGGGACATGATGTGGATGCGGTATGTATCGAGAATACGAGTCGATGTACCGCGCGCTACAAGCGTACGAACCTTCCTGCACTGCGGATCAATAACAGCCGTTGCGGTTGTGGTAACGCAACCAGCTGATCGACCGATATTAAATGATATTTACGTTCGTTCCTTGTGAGTCGCTATTGTCTTTCATTTCTCTTTCAAAACACATATTTGCTATAGCAGAATATGATAATAATATGCGTCGAAAATATTAGTGGTCGACAGTTACGTGACTTAGTATATATGTATATATATATATATATATATATATATATATATAATGATTTAGTATAACGACTTCCGTGACTTAAAATAAATACAAGATTTAATTGTCTCTGCGCTTTCAGTTCTACACAGCTTACACAGTTGACAAAGCTTATAAATGGATCTCTTTTGTATATAAAAATTACAAATGTATCTCTTTTTAAAATGTACATGGCTCGTATTTATTGTGAATTATATATTTCATATAGAATTTTTTAATATCTAAGCTGTGAGTATTTTTTTTTTTATATTTGACACAGCATATTACCATATATAATACTTATTGTACTATGTTATCAATAACAGATTTTTATTTTGAAAATTAGATTTGTCAATTATCCATTAAGTTTAATCAAAATTTAATTTATATTTAACTTATTACTTGATGACACAATCGCGACTGTTTACTTAATGTGCGAAATATAACCGAGTTATATTTAAACGAGATCATAATTTTACATATACGGTTTGCATTTACTGTGATTAGACTAATGAATACGTTGATTAAGTAAGGACTTCATTAAATAGACGACTCCTATTATAATTGTGTGCAATTGGTATTCCGATATTATCAACACACATGCGTTTATATATTTAATGTAGTAAAATATATTAAGATATATTTTTTAAAGTAATTATATCTTTTTAGGGCAGTGCAAAATATGTGTATACAGATTCTCTATCAGTATAATATTTCTCGTTCTCGTCACATGTGTTTACAATGTCGTTATCGTAAATGCAAATAAAATGTACTTGTTTCAACTTGACATTCTTGGAAGGAATATATGTTTATTAGTGTCAGTATGTATTACAATTTTTTAATTTTTGAGATCGAGCGTATCTATTTTTAAATGCACATATTATTGTCAATTTTCAGCGAGAAGTATTTGCTAAAGGTTAAATTGTACAATAAAAAAATAAAATAATATATATATATATATATATATATATACATATATATATAATTGCATGCTACAAGATCTCATTTAAAACAAATATCTTGTTTTAATTTTAAACGCCATATATTTTAATAACGTCGTTTCTCATATCTTCAGTCGGATGCACATAACGATTAAAAAATTCACAGAAGTCAATCTAATGTGCGTTTAAGCAGTAACCAAATAACAATGAAATAATAAGCATATATATGAAACGATCTTACGTGTGCATTTTTTACTAGAATTTTACATTTATGATACGTGATTAATGGATGCAACATCTACGCATTCTTTTACCGCTCGTGTAAGTCCAGCATTTTCTTCTGCAAAATGATATCTGTTAACGATATGTGACATAGATACACATATACATGTGTACTTAAGGTCTGGTTTGTTTGACATCTGTATACAAGTATTTAATTATACTGTTTTATAAGATTTATATTTATAGATATAAGTTATATATTTTTCAATTATGGAACTAGGAAAATTTTGCGTCAATTTATTGATGGAAAATTACTCTATGCATAAATCTTTGACGCAGAATAGAAATTAATTAAATAGCTGTTATGGTCGGTAATTTCTTTGAAGGAAGACGTTCCTCTTACGGCCGATCTCGTGATAATTATTCTGTTTATCTCTTTTGCTGCGCCAAATGTTTTACGGGGAAGTCCACATTTCTTGAGAAATTTTCCAAGATCGTGTAATCTTATATAAAATTTTACGATCGCACAATTTACGTGAGCAGGATATAATATCACGCGTTGCATTTAATTCGTCTTTTAATTACACGGAATTTCCGACAGGTAAATATGACGTTACTATGTTTTTCGTTTTCTGTTCAAGTGCGATGATTGTCATAATAATATGTAATGTTAGTTGTTTTTTATTAGGGGTCAGATAAAAGACTTGAACATATTTGAACTATTTAAAATAATTTGAAACAAAACATTTCAGCTTCAAGTTTGTAATGTTAATTCGTTAATTCTGTTTGAACAGTTCACACGTTAAGAAAAATTTGAGGAAAAATAATATGCGTTGCACACAAAGCATAAACAGCGTTTTATTTTTGCCCAACTTTATACACATTGTGCTGCACATTTGTAAAATGTTTTCAAGCAATAGTTACAAATAATATTATTTTAAATCACCTAATGGAAAAACACAAAGTGAAATATGAACAGCATATTTAGCAAAACGTTAAACGCTTAAGCAAAACACATTCTTTACGACATTGAGTAGATATCATAAATAATGCATAACGACATTGAGTAGACATCATAAATAATATATAATGATGTAAATTTACAACGAACAATAAGATAGATATAAGCTAAGTATTTATTAAATATATAAGCTAATATAAAAGTATACTTTAACAATTCAAAATATACGATTTAAATCTAAACTATAATATTTAACACTTTATGAGATTCGAACCATGCGAACTGTCCAACCACTTGAAATTGTAGAGTACTTTTTTATTTATTACATCTTATGGATTATACAGAAAAAAGAATTTTGCTATCGCAGCAAAAATAGTTATTACTATTGCATATCAGGTAGCGATAAAAAAAAAATCTTACCTATCATACGTAATTTTTCAAATCATTCGATATATCAGCAAAATCTCTTTATTTTGCTAGTAGAATAGATGAATTATTGTGCTAGCAAATTCTTTTTTTTTTTTCATACATATACGATATGCTTGTGACAATAAAAAGTGGAAATTCTTCAGTAGAAATAAAAATATAATAAAATCTGCTATATCGTTAACGAGACTAATTGTCTTTTATCAATAAATTAATAATCTGACCAGATCAAATGAATTATATGGCGAAAAGCGTATACAGATAAGATTATATTGAGTGCTATTAGACTTATCTTCAGAATTCGTACCATCTACTTTTATTATACTTCCTCTATATCGAGGGTTTAATTTTCAGCTGTAAAATCTTTTCAAGATACGATTAGTCATTTATTATCGTGTAGAAAAATGATATCTATCTAGATAGAATCTATTGATGAAAAAATATGACATAGAAAATAACAATTTACCTTATATTTAAACGTTATCACTTAATAAGTGATTTGTAATCTGTTCTTATATAATAAGATGATATAGAATTTTACCATTGCTTGGCTACAATTTTGTATAAATGAGAGAAATATTATCAATTTTATGTGCTAAGTAATAAAAAAAAAGTTTATGCATATAATATACAATAAAATTATTATACATATATAAAACTTAGAATAAGCAGTGCAAGTAAAGGAGAAAAATCTCTCTTTTATCAGTACAATTCTACTGTCTTGATAAGCAGTTTTACACAAGCAAACTGTGTTATTAGCCACGTTGCCGGACTGAAGAGCACTCTGAAGTACATCTTTTATGTATTCGTTTTTTGCTCAATGTTTCCTCATTGCTATCATTTGCAATGAATGCGAGTGATAATTGATTAATTAATCAATTAATCCGATTTTAAGTTATACGTTGTAAAAGCTTTTCATTCGCTACTACTTTTTGACGCTAAAGATAAATTTAGTTCTTACACTTTTTATTCATTCGAGCACTCTGATATGATGTATCATGTAGTTTAGAATTATCTCGAAATAAGATTATACATTTTTTGCTAAAGCAAAAAAAAGAAGCCGATAAATTGAAATATCTTTAATTAAAAGTATTAATGTGTTTTCTTAATAATCGTAAAGCTATATCGCGCGAAATGAATTCTCGTCGCGTCGCGATTTAACACACATGTATGACGTCACGATGAAACGCGTTCGAAGCCAATGGTCATATATATCAACGAGAGCGAGTACCAGCTATCAGTATTAGCCAGGTCATCTTCCTGTGCGCATAACGCGCAACGTGCAACGCCGATTACGCGCGCGCCGATCTCAGAGTCGAAAGAATCATCGATACTTGCGCGAAAGGAACTTTGCGTTGTTCGCAATGGCGAAGCAATCCGAGATGAAAGACATTGTTTCGCGAACACCATGATGAATCACGCGAATGTAAGACGGATAAACAGATCGGCGTTCATCATTTACCACAAGTGTTGCTAATCGTGAGTCGCGACTTTTTTACGAGAGGAAGAAAGCTACGTTACATTATACATATTTGTAGAACCAGGCCTATTTAATTGTTCGTCAACTTTTGAAGCAAGTCGTCGTGGCCTCGTCATAAGTAAACGTAACAACGCGATGTGCTTTCGCGGAATCTGGAAACGCCGCTTCACGAACGCGGGTGTTCGACCTCGTGCAAAGGCCAAGCGGTAGCGCGAGCGATCCGCATGCTTGCCGTCAGTGTAATCCATTCGAATTCGAACTTTTGATCGTGCTCCGATATGGTGTTTTGCTAAATGTGGCTGGAACAGCTTTAATAACACGAAGTAACCAATGCACCGCTATTCATCATGGTGTGTTGGCTCTTTCAATTTATTTTTTATTTTTTGTTTGCCATTATATTCTGTAAAATTATTTATTGTACAGCTATATATTTAAGTTTGAGATTGTGCTTTACGCTGAAACTGATTTTATTTTGAATGGAGTTCTGGACAGAAAATAAGTGGAGTCTCATAGTGTCAAAGATTATCGTTCGCATGAATTATTCACCATCAATTTGTAATTTCTAAAATATGTCACGCATTGTTTATTTTTAGAATACGATCCCTGGAATGTATAAATGAAATGTACAAATGGAATCATGTATTGTGGTTAATATCGTCATTGTTTAGCAATTGAAAAGCTACATCATTCGTTATCTAAGTATAAAGGTAGAATCGTGACTAAAAGTATGATACAAATGTTTTAAACACAATGAACACGAAACATAAAATTGATACAGTTTGCGTCACATTGTCATTAACAAATGAGAAGCAATAATAATATCTGGAATAATAAAAAAAGGCAATTGTATTTATCAATGTAAGTATAAGAAGATATTAAGTAGTTATACGCCATATTAAGTTCCAACATTCAATTTACAAATATTCATACAAAGATACGTACTAATTTAAAGACATTTTTACCACTATTATTTAATCGATTTGCAAAAACATATAGCAAGTTTCTCGGCTCAATAATTATTAATTATTAATAAGTTCTTTTATTAATGTTATTTCTTTCTGCGTGCTTTTTTCAGCTCGCTTTGCTACATCTTTTCAAATTCGTCTCGATAGGTAAATAAATTTCATTGCAATTGCATTCACGGAATATTTCTGACATCCGTAAAATGATAGTAATAATAATATAATAATATAATAACATAAAGTTATTATTATTCTAAAAAAGATATAACAGCGTCTATGTAGCGTGTAATATCTCTACTAACACTTAACACGAAGACGATCGATGTTTCGTATAGATGAGTGCACATTATCATGACAAATGGTTCTACAAGTTTATTCTCTTTCAATGCCGATAACGATTAACGCAAAGATCCAGTTTCCCGGTCAACTCCGTTGACCGATAAATGTCGAAGCGTTGTATCAAGCACAGAAAGTTTTTAACGCTTTTTATCATGCTTTCAATAAATTTCTAGAATTTTTTCAAATCATTTACTGCGAATTCTTTATATGTATTTAGTGTAATGCGGAAAAAATAATCGCTATGCAGATTGAATTTAGACCGTGAACGTGCCCCGGTTTACCCATTCATGGGCACGAAGCCAGGATTGCGCAAAATTTTCTCGGCCAAAGACGCTTATTTCTTCGTCCCTGTGCACGAGTGGAGTAAAACGATGAAACGAAAAATCGTTCCAAGTTATCTTAAACTTTTAGAATTCCTTGAAGTAATGTATGTAGCAAACGCGTAGTTTGATTACATATATAGTCAAAATCATAAAATACATGCTTCTCGTATCAGTGCATTAATGAATCATGTCGCGTGATGGTACATTCACATAATATAGAAACAGATGCTATATAATTTCACACGATTTGTTCAAAACCTATAAGACAACTATTTTATATTCTAACTGAACATTTTACGCTTTTTTTTTTATTTACGTTAAAAATACTTGTATATCGAGTAACCAATAAAGTTGTGCGGTTTTTCAAGAAATTTATTATTAGGAAAACCGTATGAATTTTGTTGTTTACCTGATAAATACAGTATATTTTTTAAAATTATTATTTTATCACACAATTAGCAATTTTTACATAGATTAATTTCCTTTAAATCTGCCATTATTTTTGTGTAGAAGAATATTCCATATAATAATTTAAAAGTTATCAAAGTTGCTTAATATTAAAATATAGCTTAATCTTTGTCAATTTTGTTCACTTTTCGCACGCCTACTGAACTCTCTATATATCGTGTATTTACACGCAGTTGGCGGTTCGTGAGTAAAGTTTCACGTAAAAAGTTAAATGGTCGTCTTCCTCTGAGTTAAGTAACCCGACAAGATCTAGGTCAACGTTAAAACTACAATTGCTTAATTTTGACAAACACAGCAGAAGATATTAAAAGTTGATAAGTTCATGCAGATTTTTAATATTATTCTAATTATAGCATAAAAGCTGTAGCGAAGTGATTAATTAGCTTATTGACATCTAATTGGTCTGCATATCAAATCTGTCGAGACGGAAACATGATATAATAGATTAAATATTTGATAATACGTGTTGTGTAATAGCTGGCTGTCTTACAGTAAATTTAGTATTTCAAGTATTTCAAAATTGAGTATGTTTCTTAATACAAATTCGCAATATTATGCAATTTCATAACAATATCGAATATTCGGCAGCGTCTAACGTTGTTATAAGTGTTGCGATGCAATGCGGCAACAGGCATACATATATTAAATTTTGCGCCGCATTGTGTCGCGTCGTGTCGCATCAAGTCGACACTGACCCTTTGACAATTATACGCACTTGAAATTTTCAATAATTGAACTTTGAAAACGAATTGTACCCGGTACGAAAGAGGTAGAAGGTAGTACGGAGGAGGAAGAAAAGGTGGATCGCACGATATACACGTGATCATCGTGGCCACCGTTAAATCCTTAAATTGATAGCAACTCATACACAATGAGCTTCATTTATAATCGCTGACTCTAACTCGAGCTACTTCGGCCGGTTACGAAATGCAAGAAGCGAGTCACGCCGTCGAGTGTCTTTGCCAAACATCGAACTTGGAACGTCTAATAATGCTTGAGAATGTTGCGCTTTAGCGAATAAATATAGCCAAGCGAAGAATTTTTTCCACGACTGCGTGCGTCACTTTGATCGTATTATTACCGCGTGTTTAGGTAGCGATGCGATATATCGTTCACGAGGGATTCAAGCTGTATAAGATGATGAATAAGACGTAGTGTGTTATCAACAATAGTTCATGTTTTTAGAAAAGTATTTATAAAATCTCTGTACTAAGTATTTATTTATAACAACAAATGCTACATAAGCACAATTATCGCAAATGTTACTCTCCATTTGTATTATCAATATTACAATTGAAAAAAATAATGCGCAGCTTAAGAAATTTACACAAATCTGAGTTTTAAAAGTTTTGTTCAAATTCAAATTATAGCGCAGGTGTTAATTTTCTAATTATAATTTATTGCTCAAAATTGAATTGCGCATTTACTATTTTATACGAAACTGCGGCGCGCAGTTAATGTATATCGCTAATAGTTGTAATTTGATGTTGCAGAATACACGAGAACCGAAACAGTACGTTTCGCCGCATGGGTGCCTGGGTTGACGATCGTCTTGTGGAGGAGGCGGTGGTTCTAGGTCAAAGTATCACTTGGACTTGGAGAATCCGGGGCCGTGATTGCAATGGTGGTGGACCATTGCATGGTCGACCGGGTGCCGACTATCAATCGCCGAACAATTCCACATCGACCTGGCCATCAGCATCTCTATTGCCGTTGCGCCGTCAGTTCACCAGGCAGCTTTACGAGTGGCCTTGTTTACCGTTGTTTAAATCAAGGACGAAACTAGACTTTTATTGAATCCATCATTCCGTTGAGAACAAGGGCCGCCCGTGATAGTTTGCTTGCAAACACAAGGTTATCCGAGTTTTTGTTTTCGTGATTATTTGCATGTGTGTATATTTGCGAGTGTGTGTACAAGTGTGTATCGGAATTGGAGAGAAAAATCGTCTGGAAGTTTCTCAATATTTTTAAAGGCGAATTCCGCAAGTGTATACCCTCCACATTCGTTGCCTCTTCAATATGGCCGAGTGGACCAAGTTCAACGGTGAAAATAAGCTGAGTCGATCCGACGAACGCACGAATAATAATACGTCCGTAAGACAGTCGTATACCGAAACAAACGACGATGAAATTATCAACGAAGATTCGAAAGAGGCTAATGACCAAGACGATTACGATTGTGACGAAGATCGCGAAAGGACGATCGCGAATACAAGTTTGGTTCAAGGATCGGAGCGTGTTAATGATCTACAAAACAATTCAGAGTCGCTGGAAAACTCGCGAAAAGAAGAAGAAAAAGAGAGATTCATAGAGGTTAATTTGGATCGAAAAGGGGAACCAAATTCGAGAATACGTCGGGAAGCTCGTCAGGAACTGAAAGAAGCCTTGCAAAATTCGCAAAACTCACCAAAGAGACCCAACAGTCTCTATAAAGAAGAATCCAGTCCACAAAAGCTGAAGAATGTTTTCAACGAAAGAAATGCAATTTTTGACTCGTCTACCAGAATTTTGTCGTCCAAGAGTCATTCGTCGACCGAGAAAAGCACCGAGAAACTTGTAAATGGAAAGTCTCCCAAGGAGGATAAGCAACAGCTGCACGTGCAGTTCAACAAAGAGTCGAAGAAGCAGCAGTTACGTCACACGTCCGAGGAAAGACCGCATCCGAGTCCATCGATCTCCACGTCTACTACGAGTAGTTCCGATGATAATTCCAGCTTGGGACAATTTTGTGAAGCGAGACCGCCCGACGGAGGCTGGGGCTGGGTTGTCGTGGCGGCCTCCTTCATGGTCAATCTGATCGCAGACGGTATCACTTTCTCTTTCGGTGTGATATACGTTGAATTTCTGAATTATTTCGGCGAAGGTAAATCGAAGACGGCGTGGATCGGCAGTCTCTTCATGGCGATGCCGTTATTATCGGGACCGGTTGGCGAGTTTCTTAACCGACAGATACGGAATGTAGAAAAGTGACCGATGGCCGGTAGCTTATTGGCGACGGCCGGTTTTTGTTGTGAGTTCTTACGCGAACTCAATGGAGGTGCTCATCTT